GAAACAGGAGAGAGAGAGAGAATTGGTAGCATGCGTAGCGAGCAAAGCGAGACAGACAGAGAGAGGGAACACCCTCGTGAGACACGGAGGCGGAGTGAGAAGAGGAATAGGAGAGAGGGAGAGAGAGAGAGAGAGAGTTGGTTGCATGCGTACCAAGAAAAGCGAGAGAGACAGGAAAGAGGGAGGGACCAGGGGTCAGCGGCCTCTGACTCTATGGCTTTAGTCCTTACCCCTCCATTCTCCAGGAGCCCCCTTCCACCATGCCAGGCACGGCACCCAACTTGATTTGGCAATGAGTCATAAAAAAAGCCACTGTGGTGACCGACCAAACACGCAGCAATCTATAAAGATATTTATCGTGCGCCCCCCGTCTCTAGTGCTTCCTGGTCGTTCAGTTCAGACCCTGAAGATATGAAAACTGGAAGGGGGTGTATGCAATGAAGAACCAAAGTTCAAAATTATATCTTATTGACAAATTTATTAATTTGTTAGAAAATCATACCTAGCTTTGATGGATAGCAATACAGCATGTCACATTACTCTAATCACAGCAGGAAGTTGAGAGAAAGACACTCACTCCTCATAAACACTACAATGCGGTCCTTCACAGCGCACGATTCAAATGGATGACTCGATACAATAACTTAATGATTACGTGCAAAATTATGAATTACGATGAACTGGTGACCACCGTGTGTCAAAATGGCGAGGAATCTCCAAATCCTCCAATACTTTACATCAAACAGGTACTCGTGTGGAGTAAAGCACGCTAGAGTTCCAGCCCCAGTTTCGCGGCAAAAGAATCACAGAAGACGCTGCAATACAATAAGAGTTCAATCAGTATTGAAACATAGAGTGGAGACAAGATAATTAGCGAACTGATCATATAAATTACCTTAACCAGGGAGTCCGTACTCCTTGGCGGGAACACCGTACTTAACTTCGGGGACTGCAGGGGGAGGGGCGTATGCCGGGATTACAGGGATGGGTTGGGGTGCGGGAGGAGCTGGGGGAGGGACGGGGGGAGCGTACTCAGCAGCAGGGGGTCCATACTCAGGAGCAGGGACAGCTGGAGGACCGTACTCGGGTGTGGGGACAACTGGGATTGGGGCAGGGGGGCCGTACTCGACAGCGGGGGGAGAATACGCTGGGATCTGGGGGAGGGGCACGGCTTCAGGAGCAACTGGAAGAGGGGCGTACTCGGCTACGGGGGCAGCTGGCGGGCCGTACTCGGCGGCAGGGGGGCCATAGGCAGGCTCGGGTGCTACAGGAGGGGCGTACGCCGGGAGTTCGGGAATGGGCTGGGGT